ATTTTGCACTTGGCTGCGAAATTAGTACCTGCAAGCAGGTTCAATTGTGTATCCGGAACAGCTTCAAATGTAGAGAGAACTATTGTGGTTTAAGGTGAGAAATTAACATAACTGCGAAATCTCATTTCCTTTCTCCTCAAAGAAAATAGGGACTTTATAGCATGACGGTGAATTGTATCATTTCTTGTTTATCTTGAATATATATCCACGTTCATAGAAGTTTCCAATCTACTATTCTAGATAATACAAAAAATAATTCCTTCCCCGTGTTAGAGTTAACTTTTGGATGATTGTGCTATATACATTAATTTGAGTAATCTTTATAGGAGGTGGAGAAGATTGTATATCCTTCTATAGTTCAGGAGAAAAACAAAGAGGGCAAAACACCTAGAGAGTTGTTTACGAAGGAGCACGAGAAGTTACGGGAAACTGGTGAAAAGTGGATGAAGGACACAACAACTTCTTGCATGGTTGTGGCAACCTTAATTGCCACATTTGTGTTTACCCTACCAGGTGGGAACAAGGAAGAAATAGACGCTCCAATTTTCTTGAAAGACGGGTGCTCCAATTGTAGATTACGAATTTCACTAATCCACTCAACATAAATTTTTTGAAGCAAAGCAAGGCATATAACCAACAATTTGGCCCTGCATATAAAGTGATTGGAAGCAAAGCAAGACAATCAACAATTTTTTTGCAATGTCCCTTCCTTTTCTTCCTTGTAGACCAAAAATAAGGTTGCACTAAATGTTAAGACCATGCAAACGATTGAAGCAAAGAGCGTAATTAGTCCAACTATCAACTTTTCCGGCAATGTAAATAGAAAACCATCTTTTCCATAGCGTGAAGTTAAGATAGACAAGAACATCAATATGGAAGCTGTCGAGAAAAACATTGCCACTGCATCAGATGTAACAAAAACTGTGAACCACCCGTCTTTCAAGAAAATTGGAGCGCCTGTTTCTTCCTTATTCCCATCTGGTAGGGTAAAGGCTGCAGCAAACACAACTGTTGCAATTAAGGTTGTCACAACCATGCAAGAAGTTGCCGTGTCCTTCATTCACTTTTCACCAGTTTCCCGTAACTTCTCGTGCTCATTCGTAAGCAACTTCCTAGATATTTTGCCCTCTTTGTTTTTCTCCTGAACTATAGAAAGATATACAATATTCTTCACCTCCTATAAAGATTACTCAAATTAATGTATATTGCATAATCATCCAAAATTTAACTCGAACATGGGGAATTAATGTTTGTATGCGTAGAATAGTAGATTGGAGACTTCTATATACGTCGATATATATTCAAATATATATACAAGAAATGATACAACTCACCGTCGTGCTATAAAATTTCTCTCCTCTTCGAGGGGAAAGGGAAAGGGGATTTCATAGTTATGTTATTTTCTCACCTTAAACCACAATAGCTCTCTCTACATTTGAAGAGCTGCTCCAGTTATATTATTGAGCTTGCTTGCAGGTGCTAATTTCGTAGGAAAGTGCAAAATGTTATTATTGGA